TCCTCCTCCTCCTCCTCCTCCCCTTCTTCTTCTTCTTCTTCTTCTTTTTCTTGAAGTCCGGTAGCCATAATATGCCTGGCCGTCTTGCTCAGATCTTAAGTCGGTCTGTATAGCTTCTCCTGTAATAATATCGTAGTTGGCGGTGTCTCCTGCATCAGGGTTCTGTGTCCTGTATTATTGCAGCAGGCCTTTCATAAATGTCATTTCCCAGTGTTGTTATATATATATTTTTTTTAACCCAGGGAGTTTCGAGGTATCCCTGCCTACCCTGGAAGGTCTGCAGACAGGAGACGCAGGGTTCCGGCTCAAGTATGGCGTCAAGGCTCTGATGTTGAAGGCGGGCTATGACGTCACGTTCATGGCGCAGCCAGGGGTGCCGGCGGGAGATAACTCCTCCTCCGTCTGGAAGTTTTCCTTCACGGTCTGTACAGTGGACGGCCAGAACGCCTTTCTGGACACCTTTAAAGACGACAAACTTTCCGGTGAGTTGGAATTAGTCGCTTTTAATTAAGGACAAGCGACTAACCCAGATTTCGGGAGTGGAGGGGGGGGGGGTCTGTTCCAAATATCTTGACCTACACCAAAAGTGGGCATTGCCCTACCTGTAGGAGAAATTTGGTCTCAGTGGTGTGTATATTTGTTTGATTATAGAGAAAACTTTCCTTGTCTTTGAAAGAAACTGAACAAGGAGCAAAAACTTTACGTTCGATTTTCTCAAAACAACATTTTTCGGGATAAGCCCCTTGTGCTTAAAAGCGACCAATTGTGGGAGTAAAAAGCAGAATCAAGGAATAGGTGTAGTGTCTTACGAAAGTAGGCAGTAGACATTTATAAAATTAGTGGCGTCATAGGCCTACTGAGGCCTACTGATTAGGTTACCGGACTCGTTATCGTGAGATTGCGGGTTCGGGAGTTCGAGCTTCAGCTCGGTCCGACGTTGTGTCCTTGGGAAAGGCACTTTACACGAATTTTCCACTTGGCTCAGTCCTTTCGGAGATGGACGTTAAACTAGGAGGTCCTCTTAAATAACATTGCAGTGTTAATAGGGGAGTTACACCAGTACCGTTTCACCACTTTTCACCAGTTGTACAATTGTACGACTGTAAACAGAACAATAAACAAAGAAAAGAAACCTTTGTACAGATAGACGAGAATTGAAAAAAGAACCCATCAGGGAGAGACGTTGAATGGGTTCCAAAAGGGGGTCGATCGTAAACTAGGCTGATAGTAAGCACAAGAAAGAATGTTTTGAGATTCAGAGCTTAGAAAAGCAAAAGGCGAAAGGAAATCTCTAAGTTTACCTGAGCAATTGCTTATTTAGAAATACGCTGGGGCAATGACCGATTTGATAAGGACAAAATAATAATTTTCATAACAACAAATTATTGTTTTCTTTTCCAGTTGATCTGCCAAATTTGCAACACTTTCGGAATTGGCCTAATGTGAACAACACTTTTCCTTAGACCTACAGCCACAGCTCGTGTTTCGGTTCCGTTTATCTTGTATTCCCCCTCGTTGCCAAAATGATGTTACCACGTTGTTTTCTCGTTAATTTCCAGATTTGATATATATTGGCACCAATATAATGTTCTTGTCTAGACAGGCTTGACGACCTTTGTTTCTGCTCCAGGAGATGATGTGCAATCACACTTTAAAAAATGATTTTTTAAAAAAGAATTACAGCAACTTTTAAGCCTCCATTGACACAATTTAGATGATTTGGGTCTACTTGGATCCCCCCTGTCATTGCAACCCGTGCTGTGGGTCATGATAATGCGTCCTAAGAGAAACCCAGAGACACCGTATTAGAGGTTTCTTGGACGTAGGAACCTAGAAAGCCAAAACTATATTAGAAGGGACGTAAAACATTAATGATCTGGCGGAGTTAATTATTAACATATCGCTACCCCAAAATTACAAAGTTCTATCTTCTCAATACCTAGTTTTGAGAAATTTAACGTCAATCTCTTCGCGTTTCACAATATGTCAAGGTTTTTTTAAATGTAATTCCTTGAGTATCTTGATAGCGACTCCGAATATTCTTACGATTTTGATAGAACAGATACGGAATATTTTTCTTTCTGACCTCATGGTCTTAGCAACTCAAAACGGTCAAAGATATCAAATATAATTTTGTAATTCTGAATGAGGTAGTAAAATGTCTTTTCTATCACAGACTTGTGCCGCATGTGGGTGGCTGGCATGCTGTACCACGGACCCTCCATGACGGCGCTATGTCGTCCCACCGTCAACTGTTACGGACCGTCACGTGACGACAGACCGACATTCCCCAGACGGGCAGACTGGGCCTTCAGCAGCGACTCGGCGTTCATCAACGTGGTGCGCAAGGGTGCCGCGGTGTGGCTGGAGCTCCGAGTCGTGTCATCGGCGTGCAATCCTTACTTCCCTCTCCTCACAGCTCTGGCGTCTGGGCTCGATGGCGTAGAGAAAGCGATGACGCTACCACAAGCCTCCGACCCAAGCGCCAGTCCTTTTCCGGAGAGTCTGAGCGATGCGCTGAAAGTTTTGCGTAAAAATGATATGTTCAGAAGCGTCCTGTCTCCCATGTTTGTTGACTGTTTTTGTAGCGTCAAGGAAGAAGCCGAGATTGCCAGGATCACGGAGCTGAGAGAAGGTGGGGGGACAGAGGAAGATGTGCGAGTGTTAGAGCGAGAATTGTACTTCCGGAGTGTGTAATTTCCCCAGTTTAGGTCTCAAGATCATTATTGTCACCGTCATCATAATATGCATGATCAACCAGATCATGGTTTGCCACTCACTGTTGTGTTTTTTCCTGCTCTTTCCACGTCACTCATTTATTGCTCAAGTTCTCTACATTAATTGTGAAGCATCGTGGAAAAATCAGGCACTCGTCAAAATAAGGAAAGCAAAGAAATCTGAATCTCTAAAAAGTATTTTTTGGGGGATAGGCAATTTTTCTAATTTCCTTTTAATTATTTTTTTGTGTTCAACACCTTTTATGTTTTTTTAAAAACAATTTTTTGTGTGGATTTTACTTAAAATTGTGGATTAAAGGCACAAAAAAATAAAATTTCAGTTTCCAAGGACTTTCAGGCTAAAAAAGTTTGCAGACTTTGGCGACCATTTTTTGGCTAATTTGATCTCAGAAACCAAACGACTCTGGCTTCCTTCAATCGCAAATATTTCAACGTCTATTCAACATAGATGGATTCTTTTTTCACTAAAAGGAAGGCAAATGAACAGGCTTTAAGGTGATGCCTGTAACCCCTTTAAGATGACGTCTGTAACCCCATATGCCCCAACATTTATGGGCACCTGATTCCACCGCGCCGTCACACAATAATTGTTATTACCTCAGCCGATCTGTTAGCCTTTTGAAACACTGTCGACCCCCTGGCCAGCATACTGTGCAACCTACTGTACCATTTTGTAGGCGCTAGAACACTATGCCTCCTGTCGCCAAGACAGTCTATTCTTTGAAGATTGTAAGTACACGTATTTAATTTATCCAAACATACATGCCTCTAGGGTTGTCCTCTACTCTCATCGACCTACTTCCATTTTGGGTCGGGATTGCTAAGCAACTTACTATCCTCCCTTTCTGACAGCCCTCTCCCCC